GTACATTACTCATTCTCCCACTTGAACCATCAATTTCTTCGCAAATACCCTGACTTACGTGCAAGTACCCTTCCTTACGTGTAACTTATCCGCCTTATATAAGCACTTATATGAATTACATCGGTCAAATTGCAATTTAAATTAACTGCAGATAAAGTAGTAACAACTGTTCACATATGGCGGTCCGAATGAGACGTAAAAGATACTTTTTGTGACGAGATTGCATCACTATCATAGTCAGTTAGCATATGCTACTGATGTAACAATTTTCTTCAAGTCTTCTTCTTTTCCTGCAAGACCGTAAAACCAGTAAACGTTAGTCAAGCGTAAAAATTTGTTAGTTCAATATCCTGCCCCGCACGGGGAGTTCTAAAATGCATTCCTTAATTTTCAGACACACTCCAGTATTGATCTCTTTATTTCCATAAATGCCTCCATGTAGCATCTGCTGTTTATATGACATTTTTCTTCAATTCCCACATATGCCTAGCAAGTGTTGTACCTGTACATTGTCTTTGACGCAAAAGAAGTTTTGAGTTTATAGATGTCTTCCTTTTCATGGCTTTCACAATTGTTGAGTTAACGCTATTGTTAAGTAAATATTTTCATAGAAGGCAGCGATTATTTTTTGACTGGCTGTGACTAGTTATGATTAGCTAAGACTAGCTACGAGCATATATATATGGAAATTTCTCCGATTTAACCAGTAGAGAATTTTATGAATAAAAATGTCAATAAGAAAACTAGTAATTGCTGACGCGTTTCGTCCAATGTGGACTTTATCAAAGCAAAATACGAAATGAATTTAAATTGAACAAGGTAACTAATAAAAACAAAAACAGAATGTTCCTAGTAACTGGAATGTAGAGAAACGCTATTTTCATATTTTTAACTGAAAATAACGTCAGTATTTGTCACGTGTGGTGAATATTGTCATTATATCTGTGTTGATGTATTCAACCATTTTCATTTGATTTTATGAATCTTTTGTGTACATATGTTTGTGAGAGCAATGATCTACATTCCAGTTACTAGGAACATTCTGTTTTTGTTTTTATTAGTTACCTTGTTCAATTAAATTCATTTCGTATTTTGCTTTGATAAAGTCAGCAATTACCAATTTTTCATATTGTCATTTTTATTCATATATATATATAACCTGATATACGTATCTGTAATTGTCGTTAATATATATATATATATATATATATATATATATATATGAAGAAAATATCTGGAAAAACAAAACAAAAATCTTTAAAATGCGATTATGTTGTTTTAATATGAATGTAATGTCGACGTCTGACGTTTCGGTTTAATAACCTTCTTCAGGACAATATTCATTAAAAATACAATTAACATAATCAGTATAACACGACTAAAACGATGGACATAAAAACAAGTCTTATCCAAAACAAATAAATGAAAATTTTAAATGATCAGCTTTCCGTTTGAGCGTGGTCACGTTGTCGTCAAATGGGCGACGCTTTCAAAAAGTATTCTTAAAATTTTTTATAAATTTGATTCCGATAGAAAGATTTTTCATATATACAGTTCGTTAGAAAATCTTTTCTGTTCTTGTAGGAATACGCGGAGACTAGTAGATTCCTGTATCTTCGGATAAGCATGCAGATATTGTTTTTCCAGATATTTCCTTCATTCTGTCGGATTTATATCCATTTATATTTGCTTATCACATATATATATATATATATATATATATATATATATATATACTGGGTGTAACAGCAAAACTGTGTAAATCGTGTAACAGCATAGGATAATTTCCCCTACCACAAAATGTATAATATCTAAAAAACTACTAACGTAATTGTGTTTATTTTCTGTTTTCTTATATGACGTCTAGTCATCTTGACACCATTTAGCGTAAGAATCACTAAAGCGTCCTTTGAGTCATTCATCTAGAAAGATAACAACTTAAAAATACTTTGTAACAACGCCACTATGTCGTCCCCACTAGGCAATGATGAAAGGAAAAAGGATTCAGGCCTTCAGTAATAAATACCATCATTCATACTCTGGCTTCTATCTTTAATGTTCATTCAGGTTTAAAAAAAGTTTTATAGCGGAACACACCTATTTTATAGTTAATAGACTTTCCCACCTATAATAAGTACGCGTAGTAAGAGTAACGAGTGGGTCAGTCGGTCATTCAGTCGACTGACTGATCGGTTGAACTCTCTGCTTTCGGGCGGGGAGGTACCCGAACGAGGCTACGCCGAGGGGCGGAGTCTCGTTCGGGGAGGTAAACCAGCCCTTAGCCCTTTTATACGGGTTCAATGGGCATATTTTGGGGCTGAGCCCACGGGCTCGGAGAACCCACAATAAATAACCGACTTTGTGTCACATGCTGCCCCAGTGTGTGTGTGTGTGTGGGAGGGGGTGACTGAATATTCATTCGGTCAGTCAGTCGACTGGCTGATCGGTTGAACTCTCTGCTTTCGGGCGGGGAGGAACCCGAACGAGGCTACGCCGAAGG